ATCCATTAAGCAATAATTTAAAAATAGCATCATCCAATTAACATATGGAAATCTGCTGGAGGAAATTGGCAATAAAATTTCAACGATTGTAAACAGAAGACGGCGACCCAGTTTCGGAAAGTGAGTCGATCCTATTTTAATCTGGCGCAACGTCCTCGAACGCCATTCGAACGGTGGAAGAAAACGAGGGGTTAGGGAATCGGCGCCATGGTGTCTCGACGCCACACCCTGACAGCTCCCAGTCGTTGGCATACGTAGCAAAGAAGAGCTTTATAGTAATTGAACCAGCACTTTATGCCCCCGATTCGAGCTTTGGCTGCAAGTTTTGCTGCCGACAGATCGGCAACAAGGGAGAACTGAACGTGTTTTTATTCTTGTGCATCGCTTATATATAGCCCGCGATCTTCCTTATTCGCCAATGATTTTCGGAAGTGGAACGTCGAAGGAATCGTTTCGATCGACCTCGAAACGAGTTACTTATTCTCTTCGGTTGGGGTAGTCAGGAATCTCGTTGACTCGGTACGGTGAATATTTTTACGTTTTTCGAGATCGTTTTATTCGTTCGATTGTGATAATTCATGTGAAGATATGGATTATATTATTTATGAAGTTGATTGGATATCGGTCGATCTTTACTTTCAATAAATTTCTTGTAAGAAAATTTTAATCTTGAAATTTTAATATTGAAATTATGATAAGTTATGGCAGTTCAAATGGATTCGAAAATGGCATATATTGAATTTATAATCTTATATCAAAAGATATTTGGATAGTTTTTAGCCATTGATGTAAAAATTAATTTGACTTTCCTCTTTTGTTTCATCTTAAATCATTTAAACAATATACATATAGATTATGAAAGTTATACAGATATATTTGTAGTATCTTCCAATCGATAAATTTTTATTCTTATTATTTTATTACTTATTTTTTATTGAAATAAAGATTTTAATTAAATTTAATGGTATTTTTGTTCCTTGCAATAGCTTTTAATTTTACGTGTTCAAATATCGAGCTATTAGTCTCTAGTTTTTAATTTCCATTATCCAATATCCATAAATAATCTTTGCTCAAGGTACTATGTGTGCACGCATGTTGATTTATATAACAAACGCACTCAAAGGCATAAAATTCCAGCCCATTAACTTAGCACTCGTTAATTTACGTGTCCTCTGGGATATCGCGAGGAATACAATTAATTACGAATAACCATAACGAACCATTCGCCTGTTTTTATTAATAGTCGCATTCGAGGGTGTAAACGTGACTTCGACCCCCAAGACGGCGGCTAGAACCGGGTGAACTTCGAATTAACGACCTCTTAGAGAAATGTTCGTGCTATTCCCTTCTGTGCTCTATCATCCGTGATAAAAACAGCGGTAAAATAAGGCAGAGTTAAACAGAAAACGTTGAAGTATCGCTAACGTTCCCGCTAGTAATTAAGGAAATTTTTATGGAACGAAATGAAACTTTGCGAAATAAATTTTGTGAATAAATAGATCTTTACAGCGAAACTTTCCAGTAACTTGAATAGTTTTAAAAATAATTTAATACGTAAAAGCACATCGTGCAATTTTTTTTTTTTTTTTTTTTTTAAACGATTCACTTTGGACGACATATCGAAGTCTGCATAAAATTCTTTTTACATTCAAAATTGTATTTTACGTCGGGAATTACTTCATCGATTGTTTTATTGCAATAAAACAATATAATTTCGTGATAATGAAAACAACGAATTCCAATAGAGATAATAATGTGGAAATATTCATTATATTAATTTTAAATGGTTTGCCATCATATTCCAGATATTAACGTTTAATTGAGTACATTCGCCGTTGTAATTCAATTTTATTCTAATTCTCAAACTGTTTCCATTCGAAATATATTTTATTCGTTTGGTTAATTTTATTCCATTGACATATTCAATTTTAATAATGATCAACGATTTGTTTCGAATTCTCCGATATAAATTCACTTTTCACTTCATTTTTATCTATTCACTTTCTTCTTCTCTTCAATGAATAAAATGTCATTACCAATTACTAATGACAAAGTGAAACGTCGTCTCGAAAACAGGACGGCACATTTTTATCACTTCTTTAATATCGCAATAGTTTCTTTTTTTTTTTTTTTTTTTTTTT